CCTGTGTCCTGTGATGTACTATAAACAAAAATGTTCTGGCTATACATACACTTTAACAATGTGTTCTAAATGTTTAACAACTAATCAAAAGTCTGGGCTTGGTGGTGTGAGCTGGGGAGATGGTAAATATTTAATGCTTCTAAATGTGTTGGGAAACATGTCCCCTGCTGACTGATGTGGCTCCTGTCAAACTGATGTTTTTTGGGCGACATCTGGCCCACTTGCTCCTTTTTTGCGGCCCTCAGTCATGTAAACATTTGAATCCTCTAGTACAGCATGTTGTAAGTTGCAGTTTTTACTATGATGTTAATATGTCCCCATTGAAGGTTTTACTTCACCGTTATATTTGACTTTGACATGCTTGCTTTAAGGGCCCATTTACGTCCGTGAGGTGCGTTAGGTAGTCCATCCATTTTAATGAACTGCCTAATGCACCAAACCGCACAAAAAAGCTGCATGTGCCATTTTTAGCAACACAGCACACCACCACACACTGCGCATTGCAGTGTGCCACAACGCACATGCATTGGGTAGCTAGTTAGAATAAATGGCACCACAGTGCACCAACTCGCATAACATACTGTACATTGTGCACGAGTCATTGCAATGGTGTGAATACAGACTAAAGGAAACCATAAAATTCCCTCCTCAAAATGCTAGTTGCTTGGCTGTCATTCTGACCATCTTACTTCAAGGCTTTGAGTCGTGAATTCAGAACAAGGATGCATATAATGACTTATGACTACTCTGACTTTCTTTCTAGGGATACTGCAGCTAATGAAATGCCTCTATAGGACTGTCGCCCCCCACAACAGCTTCCTTCTTTTTCCTGTATTGTCATTAGAGTTATGCTTTGTAAAAAAGAACTCTGGGCATACGAAAAATTACCCTTGCAGTGGGGCTATCCCTTCACTGCAAGGGTTAAGTGCTGGTTTTGGTCTAAAATAAAAGATATACTCACCTGATCCTTAGTCCCGAGTCTGGCTGCTAGACCGGCCCCCAGCGGTTTAAGAACCCATGACATCATTATATCCATTCACCTGCATTGGACATGAGGACTGCTGGAGTGGTGGGGAAGAGAGGTGAGCTGTGACTGCCGCAGGACCAAGTATCGGGTGAGTACCGTATTTTGCGGTCCATAAGACGCACCGGACCATAGGACGCAGGGAGGTCCGGCGCGCCTTATGGATCACTCGACATACTGTAGCTTCTGTCACAGCTTCTATGACAGAAACTGTGACAGAAGCTGCAGTTAGTGACCGCTGAGACAGGTGGCGCTGTGATTACAGCGCCACGGTCTCAGTGATCACACAGAGCAGACGAAGAAAGTCCGTTCTTCGTCTGCTCTATGGTGATCTCGATCGTCGCCGCTGCTCGGTTTTAATACGAGTGATCTCATTAGATCACTCGTATTGAACGAGCAGTGGCTCCTACTGCTGAACGTGATCGCCGCCGCCGCTGCTCGGCTTTAATACGAGTGATCTCATTAGATCACTCGTATTAAACGAGCAGTGGCTCCTACTACTCGCCCGGCGCCCGAAACTGCATGTCTCGGGCGTCGGGATTCGCTCCATAAGACGCAGGCACATTTTCCCCCTCCTTTTGGGGGGAAAAAAGTGCATCTTATGGAGCGAAAAATACGGTATATATTTTTTATTTTAGACCTTAGACGAAATGAGCACCCAACCCTTGCAGTGTGGGGGTAACACCGCTGCAAGGGTAAATGTGTTACATGCCCGGAGTTCTTCTTTAAATAAACTAGTATAATAAATGAAAATACAGTAAACTCTCTGTTAACCGGTATTCAACTAACCGGGACTCTCATCTAACCGGCAAAAGAAATCCACTGCGCATTCACTGTTCTGCCGATCTTCTGCGACCTTGTAGGAGAGGGTTCTGCAGCATGGGAGGGTATAGGATCGGGGCCAAAGAGTGCGAGTGCCGCTGGTACTGTACTGATACTGTACTGTATTATCCTGTGTGAAGCTGTGTCTGTGATGGAGAGCTGTGGGCCTGCACCCCCTAGTGATCACTACTAGTACTGCACTGTAGGCTCATGGAATACAGTACAGTATATTGTAGATCTCCAGTCCCACTGTCAGGCAGGCCCAGTGCACACCAGGCCATAAGTGAGCACACATCTCTGTATGCTCCGTTTCCTCAAGTCAGCTGGGATCTATTATACAGTACAGTATTACAGCACTAATACTAAGTGTGTCTATTTGTCTTCATTTGCTTTTTATTACTGTATTTCAGTATTAGTATGTATTCAATACAGAGTTTGTTATGGTATAGTATGGGGTATAGCATTAGTTAGACCTATTTTTAATAGCAACTCTCAAGCAACCAGAAACTACATTTATCCGGAATCTACCAATCCCCATGGATGTCGGATAACGGGACGTTTACTGTATTGTGTTTGTGCTCTCTGCTGGTTTTCTGTTTATCCTCCAGAACATGACGTCTCCTCCTTCCATGTGACTGCAGAAATGTTCCAGGAATAACTGTTGCTGGGAAGAATAGCCAAACTGCTGTTGCTTTGATGTGATGGGCAGCTGTAAAGTGATAGGAAGTAACATCCAATGATATTGATGTTTTTCCCTTCATAGGCATCTGTCTTGTATGAGTCTGAATCTTCAATCAAACTATTATCTCACCTTCCTTGTGTGCGGCTTTTACCTTATTAGAATATCACCCACCTTTGTGTGTGGACAGTATTTCTGGTGGTAGGTTACAGGTACTTGGTGCTCGAGTATTGGTTAAAAGTAGGGATGCACTGATACCGGTATTTTGGTACCGAGTACCGATAATTTTTTTTCCGTACACGCCGATACCAAATACCGAGTAATGGAAGTCCCATTCAGGAAGCCAGGTGACGTGTAATGACTCGCCACACGGCTTCCCGATTAACAAGAAAGTCTATCCCCTCTTACCTTGGTATGTCCAGCCTGTCACCCCCGGGGCCTCTCCAGCCAGAACGCGGCCATCGTTCGGTACTCAGCCGAAGCGGTCCAATCAGGAAGCCGGGCGCCATGTAATGACCCGACGCCCTGCTTTCTGATTGGCCGGGACTGCTGCCCGGCTTCCTGATACAGGAAGTATCGGGCTAGGCACCGGAGCATTAAGGCAAGTACGAGTACTCGCCCAAATATTCGGAATCGGCAACCGATATCGATACTAGTATCGGTACATCCCTAGTTAAAAGCATAGTCCACTTTTTGAAATAAATAAATGCACATACATTATTGTGTATTTATTAGTTGTCTGCATTTGAGCCTTCAGAACAGTGATCAGTGGATAACAGGTGCAATACACAGGCTCCTGCAGACTATTCCCAAAGCCCCAGCTCTGTACTGAGGTACAGACCTTCGGTTAGGGGCTGGGGGAAGTTATCAGTGGGCCACATGTATGGTGACATCACCACAATTGTACTCGAATGAGATCTACATGTCCCTCTGCTGTAGTGAGAACCTTCCTGCAACTCAGGTAATTGTGGGGGCAGGCGGTTTGAGGGTGGGGGGTTGGTGAAGGTGACCAAGCTACACCCTTAATATAGGGGTGACATGAAACAAGGTCTTGTTTATCTGAGCCCCCATTCACATTTGCAATTGGGGGCAACCGCATTAGTCTCAAAAATTGCTCCATGAGACTTAGGCGGGAGGTTCTGTGCAATACAATGACAGATGCCACCACCTGCATTCCCTAAAGGTAACTGTTTTGGGAGACAGTAAATTGGTGGGCAAAGGTCCTCTTTAAAGTCTACCAGTACTATGTAAACCCACTCATTCAGAAACACCCAGTCTGCATGTATGGGGGGCCGGTGCAAGGGTTGCCACCCATCCCATTTTCACCCGGACAGTCCGGTTTTGGGCACCCGGACACAAGACACTCAGTGCCGACACCGGCACTTTAAGTTTTCTGACAGGTGCAGCTGCCAAAGTCCTCAGGCAAGCGCGATCTCGAGCAGCCGCATTAGCCTGAAACCCGAATCTTCCTCTGAGCAAGCTATGCTCAGAGAAAGATCCGGGTTTCAGGCAGATGCGGCGGCAGCCGCACCTGTCATTGCTTCCCCTCTCTTCTAGCTCTGGTGATCTATCACATAGAGAAGAACAAGGAGACGTCCTTCTCTATGTGATAGATCACCAGAGCTAAAAGAGAGGCGGGGCTATGTAGATACACAAATGCGGCTAAAAGGAAGAGGCAGGGTTACAGAAATAGCCGAGCGACAGGGGGAACCTAAATTTACAGGGGAACAGAATTCGACACAACACCGGCTCCCTGCCTGCAAACCCCCTGGTGAGACACCATAGACTAGACAGCACTGAGAGTCGCGCAGCCCAACAGGAGACATAAGGGCACCAACCGAGAACAGCACACAGTATGTAGCTCCACATTATTTTGTATTGCTGGAATTTGTAGTTCTCTATAGCTGGCCTCCTTACTCCCTCCCCTGGCTGTCTCTCCTCTCTATACTCCCCCAAAAATTAAAAATGTTGCACGTGAGGCTAGAGGGTGTTCGGGTTTCACTTGAAAAGGAGGCAACCCTAGCTGGTGACCCTGTGCAGTAGCCATCTAGTGCTGTGAACGAGCTCTTAAAAGGGCCACCATTTAGCTAGCACCGACTTCTGCAATACGGCCAGAATGTATGTCCTGCATTTTACACTGTGTAACTCAGTCACCCCTTCAAGATGAAAATAGCCACCACGTTCCCACAACAGCCCGTCTTCCTTCACAGCTCGCCAACCTGGTCACCCCACAAGGCTCAGATCATGGCACAAACACCTGTTCAAGCCTTCCGGGCAGCGTTTCCAGTTACCATGGCACCGACGGCTTACAAACACCCGAGTCAGACCCGCCTGAACATCTATAGAATACGATTGGCTGCCGTAAACCTCGTGTCGTCTGTATTTCCTCACAATCTACCAATCGCCACTCACTTCCCTTGTGAGTACGCCTGACTTTGGCTAGCAGACCACGCCCCCTGAGTCCGGCGCCTGCGCTTTCCGCCTTTCCGGTCAGTTGCCGGTGACACCGGGGAGAGGAGGGAGCGCTACGGCGGCCGGATGGTAAGGGAGGGCCGGGCTGTGCTTTGGACATGGGTGACACGGGCTTATCCTGTGCTATAAAGACACACACTACGCAGACATGTAGAGACTGAGTCCTGTCATGTGTGTTTACCTGGCTGGGGGTCTGTCACTGTCATGCGGGGGTCTCAGTCTGCCCTTGGACACATTGGGCGGGTCTCTGTGGATGCTGGAGCTGTCATAGGACGCAGAATACCTCCACTGGTATTGTCCTTCTGATAAAATCTTCAGATTTGCTCCTTTTGTAGTTCATAGGTGAAATATGCAGAAGGATTTACACTACAATTAAAAGCCGCATGCTTATATTGTCTATAATAAGACAAAACAAGCAGGAATCCTACATGTAAACTGACCTTTTGTTGGATCCCAATCCCCCAGTCCTCTAACCCCAATGTATAGACGTGTAGAGATACCTACACTGTATAGCAAAGCAGTTTTTAATGGATACAAACATTCACTCAACCCAAATGTTACGTTTTCAAAGGTCATTACACAGAAACTGTATCTGTTTTGTAAGAAGCATCAGAGCATTTAAAGGAAACCTGTACTGAAACACAGAGGCCGCCATATTGTGACTGAGCTTTGCAAAACTAGCTGAACACAGTTACAAAGCCTTCAGTTGGCACAACATGATCTGTTTGGCTTGACTTAGTGGCAGTGGGAACTTTTACCTTGTACTGCAGGTCATAGTCAGACAACTGATGACATTTACATACATACAATTACAGAAGATTTAAAGCAGACCTTCATATAACTTTGCTTCCCTGAACACTAAAACCTCCAAATAGATGGGTTTTATCTATGTCCTGCAGTTTATTATTATAATACAGGATTTATATAGCGCCAACAGTTTGCGCAGCACTTTATTATATAAGGAGGCACTACCGTTACAATACAAATCAAGACAAGATGGTAAGGAGAGCCCTGCCTGTGAGGTCTTAAGGTGCCCATACACCTTATGATTATCGTAGGATAATCATATGCGATTGACTTTTCGTACGACAATCGTAAGGTGTATGGGTAGTGTGCAACCGCCAGTACTGTACAATCGTACGACTTTTGGCTTTCCTGCATGTTCGGAAACTTCAGTCGATCGTACGATTTTCGCAAGGTTGGTGGCGTTTCCGTACTTCAAAAGTCGTACGATTAACACTGCTCATGAGCAAACGAAAATACGTGCGGTCGATTACCGCAATTCGTCCAGGTTTTTTTTTTAACTGCTGCTGATTGAACCGTGCGATAATCGGGGCAGGATGGGGCCGCCGTACCACAATCGTACCACCACTGTATAATGTATTATTGCTGGGATTTGTAGTCTTCTATACAGCGCAATGCAGAATACCACCAGCTATATAGGAGTACAACAAATCGCAGCAATACATTAAACATCGAGTGTATAATGTATTGCTGGGATTTGTATTCCTCTATAGCTGGTGGTATATTGCTCTGTATAATATACAGTACATAGTACCATCAGCTATAGAACAATACAAATCCCAGCAATACATTATAGAACACCATGTGGGGGGGAGGGAAGTGCAGGCTTACCTTAGCAGTCTTCCAGCAACTTGCCTCTGAGATCGGGCCTGTCTATCGGTGGCTGTCATCCCCCCCCCACCTGCTCCTCCTTACTTCTTCTTCTCCTTGCGTCCCTGTAATGATTGTGGGGTCGTGGTGTGGGGGGAAGAGGTGTGGCGTGTGGATGTGGGTCTGGCAGTGGCGAGCGTGAGGTGGGGAGGAGGTGCGGCGCGCAGCGTGTGTGGAACCGTGAACAGGGCCAACTAATCGAAAGCCAATTTAGTCGATTAGTTGTTGCAGCCCTACTGGTGTGAACTAGAGCCCAAAATATAACTGGAATACATTGGACGCAGTTTTGATCCGTCCTGTAACTGCTCTGCACTTGGTGTGAACTAGCCCTTAGTTGTCTCTGTAGAGCAGACTATGAGCTTATCTGTACAATTTCAAAGTGACAGGAAACTCTGGTTGTACCCATAGAAAGTCCAGGGAGACTTCCTCTCATTAACATTCAATACTTCTTAATCTTTAACCCTTTGTTAGTGTTCAAATCTAGTTTACACTTGATAATGAGATCTACCAGCACAGTACAGACAGGGCTAATAATGGTAAACATTAATCTCCCCACCCCCTAGATGAAGTATTTGTAAGCAGCAATTTTTTTATTAAAGCAGATTCCGGGCAAATCAAATCTTATCACTTGCAGGGCTGGTTTGGGGGGATGTTGCCTTGCAAGTGCTACTTTTGTCTAGGGGGCTCAAATAAAGCAGTTTTACTCACCTGATCATCAGTTGTGGTGGTGGTGGCTCTCTCTCCCTCAGCTTCAGCTATGGAATGTTCTTCTGCAGCCTAATCTTATGCAGGTAGCTGGACCTGCATAAGATGTAACGATGGCAGTGCTCCTTAATCCACTGGAGCCCACAGGAGAAGAGGCTGTAGTGACCGGTCTAACAGCCCAGAGGGAGCCAGCAGGACCAAGGATCATGAAAGTAAATCTTCTTTATTTGAGCCCCATAGAGAAAATGGGTACGTAATCCTTGCAGTGCAGTGATAGCCCCACTGCAAGGGTAAGTTTGTGATTTTCTTCTTTAAAGGTGGCCATACACTCTACAACCATCGCAAGACCTTAGTCTTGCGATGGTTGTACAGGGATTAAAAAAACGTACGATCTGCCTATCTTGGACAGGCAGATCGCACTCTCGATCATCGCAAGCCCGCCCCCCTGAGGGGCGGGCTTCCGATGACCGCAATGCTGAACGGGCAGTGTGCGCGTGCGCACACCGGCCCGTTCGGCATTTGTCTTCTGAGCACCGTTCTAACCAGCCGAGAATCGTACGATTCCCGGCTGGTTTTCGAACATGCTGGTTCGACGGAAGACGTGCGACCGTACAGTAGAAACGGTCGCACGTCTCCGTTCACACTGCTCGATTCTCGTACGATCGCAGGATTTCCCGCGATTCTCGTACGAGAATCGAGCAGTGTATGGGCACCTTTAATGAGCGGAAGTAGGCCTAGAAGAGCTTAGCTACCACTGGCTTCCAGGGAGCACAAAGCAAGGGAGGCACGGACAATACATTATTCTGGTTGTCTAATATAGATAAAATATTACTGCTATGCGACTGTAAATATGACTGTTATCTACATTATGCCAGGTGTGCAAGGCTGAGATCTGCAATATCAGAGGACGGTGATATGTGTAGCTGTTATTATTTTCATGTGTTAGTAAATTATTCCTTGAATGTGTCTTCCTTTTGTTTTTGTTGTTTGTTTGTTTAGGCCAAAGTGATTCTCTAACTGTTATCTCTTTTGCACTGACAATATTATAAATACATAAAAAGGTGAAAACATCTTGTTCATTTTGCAGGCTTCATTTCAGAGATCAAACAGTCATGACAAAGTTCGAAAAATTGTGGCAGAGGAAGGGCGCACTGCCAGAAACCTGATTGCATGGAGTGTCCCTCTGGAAAGTGAAGGTACAGCTACACCTATGTGACACATTTAAGGGATTTTCAGTTTTATAAAAACTGGTCCTTTGATAAAGTCCCTTCAGCCTCACCATGTTTTCCTGCCTTGTGTTATTTATATTGGTACTTGGAGGACTAAGCTAACTTGTGGCAATGTGATAGCATTTACAGTAACACCAATATTTCAGCAATAAGGGAATGTTGTACCAGAGTTCATCTGCACTGTGCAGATCTGGATGGGGTTAGGTGCAGTTGTGGGGTGGACCTCTGTAAGCACTAAGAATTAGGCCTCATTCACACAGCGTAGAGTGGGGCTGTACAGAGCCGGCGGCATGCACGGCCGTATGGGGCCATTCCCGGGAAGGACATGTGCTCTGTGTGATTGTACGCAGCAGCCTGTTCTTCCCTATGGGAGGACGCAGCCGTACGCTCACCTGAGCTGCACATCCATGCGGGTTTCCGTGCTCGGACGCAGACAGCATCCATCCTGTCTGCATCCGAGTACGGACACCCGCATGGATGTGCAGCTCAGGCGAGCATATGACAGCGTCCTCTCATAGGAAAGAACAGGCTGCTGTGTACAATCACACGCAGCACCTGTCCTTCTCGGGAACGGCCCCATATAGCCCGACACGCCGCATTCTGTATGGCCCCACTCTACGCTGTGTGAATAAGACCTTAGAGTTGGGATGTTTTTGAACAAAATAGGAAAACCAGTTAATGTGTTACTTCTGAAACAATGGTCAGGATTTCCACAATTCTCTGGCTGTATGAAAATGGTTTTCCTGCAGTTGATGTGCACTGAAATTGGACTACAGTGGCCACTTTTTCAAAACCAAAGCCATTACAGCTGAACTCCATGAGAAAACAATGTTTGCACATTTGCTATGTAAAAATGAATGAACCTTAATGCCAAGTGCCCCATTGGTGGATGCTGCTGCATTAGGTAAAAAAGCTCTAACTGTAAATGCTGAACTTCGGGCCCTGAAAATTACACTCCCGACTCTAGTACACCACATTCAGCATTGTTTCTTACCGCTCAATATATAGATAGGTAAATATTTGGTGATTTACTTGAAGCAGATTTTAGTAAATCACTAACCCCGCACTGCAAGGCTAAAGTGCTTGTTTGAAGATACACTCACCTGTTCCCTGATCCTGTGACAGTGACTGCGCACCTCTCTCCCACTTCACTCTGGCTGTGTTATGTCCCTTTGCGTCGTCATGTCTAATACAAGTCAATGGGCCTTGCATAGATATGGTGACATCAGCGGGGCCTAGACCGCCGGAGCCCGTGGTAGAAGAGGGTGTGTGGACCGGTCTAGCAGCCAGGTAGGATCGAGAATCAGGTAAGTATATTTTCTTTTTTGCACCCCTAGACCAATTGAGCAGTTAACCCTTGCAGTGCGGGGGCCAGACCAACTGCAAGGGTTAGCTTTTGAGAGTCCTGGAGTTCGTCTTTAAAGCCAGCTCTATCTATATTAAAGTTCTATCTTTATGGAGTCTCTTCCTTTTAACTGCTGTGCAAAAACAGACCTGAATGACAACCTCCTCCTCTAGAAATTACACTGATCAAAAACCATAATAGTTTCCTTTCAAATAAATCTATTATGAGAGGACTATGTGGGCTATTGTTGCTGACCTCCTACTAAAGTGCTATTCGTGTAGCTCAATGCTTTCTGAGCCAAAGCTTTGAAGCCAGAGAGTCGGCTATGAAGCTAGTATTTCTTTTAAAAGGAGATCACCGTTAGCAGCATGTGTATTTCTATCTTGACAGGCTCTTTGAGGCTCTGTTCACACCTAGGCGTATCGAATATGCGCGTTTGTCGTGCGTTTTTACAGCAATTCGCGGTAAAAAAAATGCGTGAGAAACGCGCGTTTCCGAGGGCTACTTGGCTGTATCCCAATGGAAACGCGTGACAACAACGCCGCAAAGAAGCTCATGTACCTTTTCAGGCGTAGGCTGTTTTGTAGCGCGTTCAGCCGGGCTGAAATACGGCAGGGTGTGAACCATACCCATAGAAAACAATGGGATTTTCATGTTTGAGCGTTTTGTAGAGCGTTCGTAGAGCGTTGAACGCGCTACAAAACGTACAGGTGTGAACCAGGCCTGACCCTTTCCCTGCCAATGACGTAAGGCATACGGTGAAACAAAACCGTTTCCAGCTTGCCCCGTCAGTATGCCATACGTCGCTGACATTCAGCCTTCTGCTATAAGCTTATGGTCGCTTCAGCGACCATAAGGTTATAGTAGAAGGCTTCTACTGACGATCCCCTGTAAAAGAATAGCTATTTATGAAAAATTGCCCCCCCTTCCCCTGCTGCCCGCCGCGGCTCCCGACGCTCTGCAGCTCTCTCCTCCCTGCTGGGAGCTGGCTGCATGCTGTGGTCTGTGTCCCCTCTGATCCCAGCTACTCTCCCCTGCCTGTATCAGCACAGGCAGCAGGGATCAGAGGGGACACAGGCGATCCAGATGCCGTCTCCCAGCAGGGAGGAGAAAGCTGTCAGGAGGCCAAGCATGGCAGAAAGTTCTGGTGGGGGGGGGCGGAGCTTAAGGATTGATAAATATTTACTGATCCTACGCTGTACTGAGCAAACATGAGTGATCCGTACTGATCACTCAGTGTTTGTAAATAACTAAGGACATAGTGAGTACTATGTCTCCAGTTATGAATGAACAGGAAGTGTTATACATCACTTCCTGTTAATTTATGAATGGGGACACAGTAAATATTATCTATCTGCTCACAAACAGACACAGCTGCAGCCAGTGTGCAGCGGGGAGGAGAGATCTGCTGTCAGGAGGCCGAGTGGGGCCGTAAGCTCCAGTGACAAGCGGGAGGGGGCGGAGCAGTCAGGACGGAGAGAGGAGGATCAATAAATATGTGAAATATTTACTGATCTTTCCCTGTGCAGAACAAATCTAGTGACTAGTACTGATCACTCGCTGTTTGTAAATAACTGAGGACATAGTAAGTGATTACTTTGTCCCCAATTATGAATGAACATAAAGTGCTATACATCACTTCCTGTTCATTCGTGACTGGGGACACAGTAATCAATGTGCTCAGTTTATGAATAAACAGGAGCATAACTGGGGAGAGTACTATGCCTCCTCAATTTGGGGCTGCAGAAAAAGAGATTTCTCCGAAGCTCCTGACAGTAAATGATGACCTAAAAATGTACTCGTGAAAATGCCCAGTATCGGCACCGATACCGGTCAGTGTATCCAAAGTGTTCTGTCCTCCTCTCTGCTGCCGACTGCTGAGACAAGGTGGGGGTGGAGATGAGGAGACTGCCGCAGCCGCAGGAGGGGTGCGTGGGCCACATGAAATAGCCTGGTGGGCCGTATTCGACCTGCGGGCCTGTTTGACACGTAGTTTACGGGGTCTTTTACAAACTCTAAAAGCTGCAGTTGAAAATGTAAAAAATTGCCAAAATGGTCTGGCCGGCTGAGGTTAAACGTTTTAGGCAGGGCGTGGCAGCAAAAGGGTTAAACCTCACCTTTGGAATTTGGATTTTAGGGAATATAATAAAGGCAGACCCTGCATATTACTCCACTAGATGTGTTTTATCATCAAACAAGAGACCTGGTGTCCCGGGAATAGAATACAAAACCTGGTCTTGCAGCCTCTAAAACACCTTAATGAGTTCTTAGTAAGAAAATTCGGCCAAACTTGTTAGACATAAAATATTTGAAGCAAACCTGCACTTTGGATGGACTAGAAAAAGTAAATATTTTGCTTGCTTTACCTCCTCTACTGGCCTGAGCTGTCACTGCAGCAAAAATCCCTGTGCAAGTGTTCCACTTTACAAAAACGCTCAAGGCTGTGCTCTCCCCCATCCCCATGTGATGGTGCTAAGGCCTCGTAATTGGCTATTCAGGCACCAAGTACACACAGTGAGAAGCAGGACAGAGTGTGATATCCTTTCTCTTACCCAGGGGAAGTGGGTTTTTGAGGAGCTTTGGCAGTAGACAAGCAGGAGGCGAGCTAGAGAAGTAAGAATAAATTCCTTGCGGCGTCTGTTATTATTCAAACTTCGTACTTTGCCTAGTCTAGCCGATTTAAATATATATTTATATTTTTTATGGTAAGTCCAGTAAGGCATTTTTAGTGAATTGAACACCTTAGGTTCAGTAAGTACTCTGCATATCTAAACTACCTTCATAACTAAAAACCAAAAGCAGTTTCAGAGAAACAACAAGCCTCCCCCTTATGAAGCTTTATCCATTACACGGTGTAAGGAGCAAAGTGCAAAGAGCAACACATAAAAATCTGTCAGAATGATTTTTGCTGAAGCTTGACCAATGGAAGATGTCTCTCCTCAGCCACTAGATGGGGCTGTGCATATAGCATATGTGTTCGATGGAAGAAATAAGATTGTTAGAGTGACTTATGAGGATGCCAGGGTTTATATATTTCCATTCCTTTCTCTTGCCAGGAGCCTGCATTGAGTTATATACCTAAAATGTATTATTGTGTTTGCTGGTTTAGCCAGGGGAGCTAATTTGCATATTTAGGACCTGGGCAGATCTCAGCAGGTAGAACAGTGTTTAACACAATATATTTGCACATATTCAAAGCTTGTCCTTGATTAACATTAAGAGATAGAAGTGAGATAATTATCACAAATATGTTCTTGATTCAGTAGCAGGACCAAATATTCACAATTTAATACTTTAAATAGATAGCTTGGTCTTGGGAATAAGAGAAATTAACAGCTTGGCTAACGAATCTATGACACAACCTGTAGACGTGTAGTGTAGATACAACCTGTAGACGTGTTGTGTAGTTAATCAACCGTCATCTGACAAACCATCAAAGAATCATAACGGATTGTGCAACTACAACTCACCAGGGAAGCAGAAGACTTTGCACTAAACTAATAATTTATACTCTTAGAAAGATTGTTGCATTATATTACTTGTGCATAGTGCAAAAACATCAACAACCTTATATTAAGGCAGGGATTGCCAAACTGCGGCCCTGCAGCTGTGGTGGAACTACAAATCCCATGAGGCTTTGCAAGATTCTCACAGCCACAGACATGACTCCCGGAGAGAGATGCTTCATGGGATTTGTAGTTTCACCACAGCTGGAGGGCCGGAGTTTGGCCATCCCTGTATTAAGGTCACAATTAATAACCCTCCAATATATTTATTTAGTGTACAATTCCACTAATAAGTGCACTGCATGTAGCGACTTGCTCTACAAATAGCACTCAGCATGTTAGTCTCTAGATAGCACAGTTAAAGTCTCCTTCTTAAAAAAAAAAAAAAATGTTTTCAGCTCTGTGTAAAGTGCAATCATGCTCCACTCCAAACAAAAGTGCTTCTTAGTGCAAATCCCAGGTAATTAAACAGAGGGACAAATGCATACTAGAACCCACTCTAAGCCCACCGATCGTAATGGTTATTTACCGTTGGGGAGTTGCCACCATCCTTAATCAAGGAGTTTGACGCCAAGGGCTGCCGGAAAAGGATGTTAATATTAATATCTGTCCTTTTGAGCGTACTCAGGGCTAACTATTTCTCCAGTCCAGATTGGAGAAAGGTTAACGCTCATCCCACAAAGTAAGTCTGAGGGCTAACAAGCCTTCTTGGCAAAATACTGTAGTATACTTCCTGACCTGCAAGAGGATGGGGATAACAAAGTCCAACAGACCTCTATCCCTCAGGACCTGGGCTTCAACAGCCAAGCCTCTAAGCCAGCGACCGAGAAGCAGGATAAAACCACGGATCTTGAGAGACGAGTCAGTCTGGAAGCGGCCATGGAAAGTCCATGAGCTTCCTGTGGATGTCTAACTTCCACCCTCTTCTGGGTCAGTTTGGAGCGACAAGGATTACTGGAAAGTTTTCCAACTTGATTCTACTGAGAAGATGAGGAAGAATCTTCAGACGAAGAGAAGGCATAAAGCAGGGATAACTGATCCCATAGAGCTACCAGTGTATCCATTGTGAACTTGTCCAGCTTGATGCTCTGTCTAAACATCAAAAGATCTACATACAGAATAGAGACTAATCCCCCTAGTCTAAGCTTTGTCGACTAAGGAAATCCACCTGCCAATTGTGCACTTTTGGGATATGCGCCATACATAAGGCTGGAACATGATGTTCTACCCAAGACAGGATCAGCTCTGCTTTTTGCTACTCTCTTTTGTGCAGTTGAGTCTAGATCAACACTTAAAGGCTGGATACCTTCCCTTTCTATTCTGTTTCAGAGACTGTTGGCTTCCCATTCCCTGATTAAGACCTTTCTGCATGGGGTCTACTATGTGGTCTCCTCCCCAGTCCAGTCCTAGTTGACTCTGTGGGATTTGAATATCGTTCTTTTGGTGCTTCAGAAGCCCCCATTTGAACCCATCAGAGATATTCCCCCCTAACTTTGACACACAAAGTTGTTGTTTTTGTTCCCATCACCTTGGCCAGTCGGGTGTCTGAACTGGTGGCTTTATCCTGCAAGGAATTTTTATGGTCATGCACAGGGACAAGGTGGCATTGAAGTCCAGGATTTCCTTTCTTCACAAGATAATCTCTTCCACCGTATTCAGGACATTGTTCTTACATTCCTCTGTCCGGGTCCAGATCACCAAAAGAAAACGATACTCAATTGTTTGTATGTTATTCAGGCTGTGCAAGACTATCTTTCAGCCTCTGCTTCCTTCAGAATGAGTGATTTCAGCTTTGCCATCCCAGATGATCTACCACCTAGGTGGCTCAGACAGACCCATTGCTGAGGCTTATGGCCTTGAGGATTGGGTTCCCCTCTTTCCAGTTAGGGCTCACTCTACTAGGGCAGTGAACGCCTTTTGGACTGTTCGGAATCAGGCCTCCGTACCCAGATTTGTAAGGCTATCATGCGGTCTTCGGTGCACACTTTTTCTAAGTTCTACCTTGTGTTGATTTTTGCCTTATCTAATGCCAGCTTTAGGTGTAAGGTCCTTCAGGTGGCTCTTTGAGCTGCAGGCACTGCTCAGTTAGCGGTTGTTTTACATTGAGACAGTTAGCGGTTGTTTGCTCTGTTGCCCACTCCTCAGTTGGGCTGCTTTTGGATGTCAGAAGGTTTAAGACCTCCCATATCTCTCAGTGGACGAGAATTTTTTGGGGGATTTTTGTACTTGCTGCAATATCATGTTCTGGACTCCCTGCCCCTCTTTGTTTATGCTCATGCTCTTGGTACTGTTTTGCTACAAAACTAAGGCATGCCCACAGCTTTTTTGTTTTCCAGTGTTCAATCCTCTTGTAGGTGGCAGTATAACCTGTGGGTTTTAGACTTTCTGTGTCCCTCAGTGGACTCGAAGAAAATAATTTTACTGTGAGTACAAAAACCCTATTTTCAAACCCAGTTTATCTTTATCCGTAATGGCAACAACATATGGAGTGTTGCCATACTAAGTAGTCTGCTGAGGTAGTTACTACTACCTTAAAATGATCTTCTGATGTATAAAACGTGCTTATGTTTTCCTCAGTCTTTATATGCAGCATCATGCAATGTGTTCTAAACAAATCCTGTAAATCTGAATATATTTGGTTCCCTCTTGATGAAGCAGACAATAAAACAGTTGGACTAGCAAGCCAATTTCAGAATTCTCATAATGTAATAATTTCTTCAAGAGCTGTACCTTGACAGATTCTAAAGTAAAACATCATGTTCCTCAGTATATGTAGAACTGAACTAATTGTAATAATAAGGGCTCCAATTTTCGCTGTTACCCCAGCCAGCACTGATAGACTCTGTGCCCTGGACCTGGGTCACATATTGATTATGGGAAATACATCTCCTTCCAAGGGGCTGTCAGTGGTCAGGTTACACGGAAAGAGAATACAAAATCAATGCACAAAATGGGATACATCTCTTGGCAATCAATATTTCGTACTGTACAGCCATGAATAAACCATCACATGGCCTGACTGCAAAGAGCATGCTGTTCAAAATTAATATGTGGAATATGTTGTTTTTGTTTTGCTTTTATGATGCAAAGTAGGTATTCCCTTACATTTCCAATTGCGTAAATAGTGTTACATTTAGGATTGCTATCCCAATCCAGCATCTAATGAAGAAAAACGTTTCTACGCAGCTTTAGATGTCTGTGATATGCATACTGACCCTTACTGAGGTGAGCAGTAGTTTTCTTTGCAAGTATAGAACAGAATATCAAGCGGTATTTGATTATCAACACATTGTAATTTGATATTTTCAAAGTGTTAAAGATGTCATGTCCATTTTATCGTAGGTTTTCATATTCTAAAGCATGATGCATTTACTGTCTGTAGTCATATAAACAATTGCTGAAAATAGGAAATTAGGATATTACATACCTTTTTGTGAGATGCATTTTATAGATGAATTTCACATGAGATAAGATACACAGAGTGGACTTTATCAAAACAGTCAGAATGTGGAGCAGTTGCCCATGGCAACCAATCAGCATCCACCTTAACTGAACAGACCAAAGAGAGAAGCTGATTGGTTGCCATAGGCAGATTCTTCTGCTCCAGCTTTGATAAATTCCCCCCATAGTGAATTAGTATCTGAAGCACCTTGGTCCCGTACGAACAAGCGGTGCTGCAATGACAATTTTGTGTATGAATGTCAATTACATTTTGGTAAATGATGGTTTATGTATGTAAAAGAAACCTAATGATCTGGATTAAAATATCACCAAAGCGACCAAACAGGCATGAGAAGTATTATTTTATTGTGTCAAATGGGAAAACTCATATATTTTACTTACAGAAATTATTTCACATATATAGTATTAGCATTAAAACGATTACACTTTCAAATGATTTAAAAAAATTTGATTCAATCCATTCATTTAAATTCAATGACACCTTCTCTTAACATCAGGCTTGCTGCAGAAATTGCATTTTCATGTGGACTTATGTGAGGTTTATCACTCTGTCAGTATACCATTGGCCTTCATAGTAGACTCCGCTACAACAATTTTAGACCCTGCCTCAATCCTGAAGGCCACATAAAACATTTGCTCAGGGAATAGCTAATGTTGGTGCCCTGAACATCATCACTTCCAATATTGTTTTTAGTTGGGTTTGCCCAGACAACATTGGGATTCAGTTGTCCATTTAAGCTATGCCTTATACAGAGTCTGCAGTTCTTTGCAAGGATGTGCCTTCAGGCTCGGCACTGATGGGTTTGAGAGTAACGTTGGCCATACACCTGTCAATTTCTTTTGTTCAACCCGCAGGCTGAATGGAAGAAATGGATGCGATTCCTCCATCAACACAAACAGTGTGTCGATCGAGGTATCTCCGCTGTTTGCATTGCATTCTGACATGTGCCGCTGACACCTGTCAGAATACCCGATCAGAGCGAGCAGCTCATTGACTGCAGGCTCTGATCATTCCAAGATCTTCCAGCCGGCTCCTTCGATCAGCTGATCGAGGAATGCAGGCTGAAGGGAGCCAACATCCCTATACACTGGCCGAATTTCAGCCGATACATTAAAAACCAGCCGAAATTCGGCCAATGTATGGGCCTTCAGAATTAGATTGGGTTGAGATCTTACTGAGTAAGGCCAGCTATAGAAAGACGATATAGAATAACCTGCTTTAAAGCAAACCATTACCAATTGTGTGAGTGTCTTGTGCCGTGACAACAGATCTAATCTAGCCTGAGGACAATCTGTCTAGTCATAAATGTTAGTCCAACTTTTGGTTGATGTTCACATTCTGTCAGCCTTCTGGCTGAACTGGCATCAAGTCTTGTAGCATGTTTTCTCTCATTTGCCCATTTATGATCAACAGTTGATCAGCATTTCTCTCAACACTTTGTGTGATTTAGCAATTCTCAACATATAGGAAGTTCAGCCCATCTCCTACTAAGATAACTACTCATATGTTATATTGGTCTCTGTGTTCTGAGCCTTTCACATGGTTCTGTCAGTGAAAAGAAAATTAAAAGGTTTAAATTATCAAGAAGATTTGATGCTACAAAAAAGATACTCAGTGAACATAAACCTAAATTGTTCGATTTTAAAGGAGAAGTATGGGGAGAGTAAAACATACTCTCCCAGGATTGTATCCCGGCAGTATTGTCTGGATCCTTCTTGACTGTGGCACAGATGTGCATAAGCTCACCATGTACTGACTTTAGGTCCCTGGAGTACATTAGTAAATATACTTCTATTACCCAAAAGAGAAGTCTAAAAAGGTTTAGCTTTACTTCTGTTTTAACATACGATGCTGGTGATTATCTAGGCAGTTATTAAGAAAATTCTTTATTTTCTGACTATATTTTAAATGTTGTAATTTTATTTCTGCCACCATAGTTCATTTTTTGACTCGGACATGCTGAGCACCTTTTATTTATGGTGACACTGACATTTCTTTATTTTTTACAGGGAAATCCAAGTGGCCATGTGGCAAACCTAAGAGGGGAACCCACAGAGCCCACAAATCTTCCAAACAGGTAATTCTTGCAAGGTTTACCTTGTGTGAATACAGTTTTCAAAGTAATGAATAACTCACACTTATTGGGACCTCATTTAAAGGTATGCCTTAGTAATTTGATTGCACCTAGCCCTGTTTTGCAGCTTAATTCTACCTGTTTTCCAGTATGTAAGTTGGACCTGGAATTTTATGATGTTTAAGTGTATTTTAAGGGAAAGGATGTAGGAGAATTTGTTGGAGAATTTGTTGAAAGGGTTCAGAGACTAAGGGTTGTGTGGGTGCAACGTATACCCATACCTCCCAAGGACTGTATCAGACAGAACTAGACAGCTGGAAGATGATGGTGCTATCTAATTTCTGCATACGTCATCACCATGTTTTATGAGGCAGCATAATTATATTGTATTTACGCTGGGGCTATTTTTGAGTGATTTCTGTCATGTATATAACAAAGGAATCCTTAGGCTAGACAGAATGAGCATTAGAGTTATCTTTCACTCTGAATAGCATAACTATGCGATTCGACTTATACAAACTCCTATATAATTTTCCTCTGTAAAAGTGAATGTGTACCTATGAGAAACAAACATCCATGTCTCTGTTACAGTTACCTTTGCAATACCTGGTTCGATTTTTGGCTATATACTTTATAGCCCTGTGTTCTCCGCCTTGATGTCACTATACATGATTTGTGGATTATTGGGGCTTTTCTCTCATTTATCTATATTCCTACAAGGGTTAAGTCTTATTTAGATTGCAGTAAACACAAAGCAGGGATTGCACAGCAGAAGTTATTTGCTGCGCTGGCATAACAAGGCCCCAGCTTTACTTAGTGGTGCATTAGTGAGCTCATCACTCATTCTTGCAACAGGAAGCCGGGGCTGGGAGTTCTTTGGCTTGTTGATAGACTCATAATCTCAAGCAAGGAAGATTAATTGAAAAGAGAGGACTGTTTATGATATTTCTTGGGTGCCTGAGATAAGCACGTTTATTTTACATTCATTAATCCAAAAGGGATAAATCATTGCAACAGAAGTTTATTCACGAATCTCTTTAGGAAATGTTGACTTTGTGGAACAGAAACTGTGTCTTAGTAACTCTCTTTTTGTGATGATGTCACGGGAGAAATTAAAGGGTTAATCTTAAGCAACATGATATGCAATTTGGATTTTCTGCCTATTTTTTTTCATTGTTAAATTAGAATGCTGCTTTAAACCATACTCATTTTGTGTTTGTATGGTGGAGAGTTAAAGAATACCATGTGCATAAATGCGTTTGTCTGTGTACATCTGTATACATCTGTATATACAGCTAATACTAATAAAGTACATAGTTACATAGTATCTGAGGTTAAATAAAGGTCCATCAAGTTCAACCTTTATGTGTGTGTGTAGTGTGTGCGTGTCTATATGAGTCCCTGTGTGGTCCCAGGTTTTTAAGAGTACCTGTACCCCTGTATGTTATGATCTCTGAGGAAGGTATCTAAATGATTTTTGAATGAATCAATACTCTCGGCTGATACCACTGCTTGTGGCAGAGAGTTCCAAAATGTAACCGCTCTGACCTAGAAGAAGCCCCTACACCCTTTGTGGATAAATCTTTTCTCCACCAATTTTAGGTGGTGGCCTCTAGTCTTCTTAATGGAGTTTATACTAAAAAGTTTATTGCTGATGTTGCCATCACCACTGAACATTTTGTACATTAAAATCATGTCCCTTCTTAATCTCCTCACTTCCAGTGTCAACAATTTTACATTTAATAACCTTGTCTCATAGCTCAGGTCCTCCAGCCCCTTAATTAGTTTAGTTGCCCTTGTCTGGACTCTCTCTAGCTCAAGGACATTCTTTCTGTGGATTGGTGACCACAATTAAACCGCATACAGATTATCTTCTTAAAACACGCCTTCACTTCCATTACAAATCCAAGACAATTCCACATTTAAAGTACACCTGTTATTAAAGAAATCTGTAGGCTTTCATTACTTGCGTTCTTCTGAAAATGTTTGTTGCCTGGCTATGCCTAGATTAACCACTTGCCGTCCGCCCATTGTGAATACATGGGCAGATGGCGGACGCTTTCCGGCAGGAGGACGTGTATTTACGTGATTTTAAAATTCGCGGGCAGAATAAAAAAAAAATCTTTTAACAACTGGCACCGGCTGTGACATACAAGCGTTCGGGCCACTCTACAGCAGTCCAGTCTCTTGTTGTTTGCGTGCTCCGCTGTCCCCCCTGCGGCCTGGCACCAGCACAGCAGTTACTTCCAGTGAGGACGGAGGAGAAATCAGCATTCCCCCACTGTTGATCTCTCCTCCTCTCTCTGAAGGCAGAACGATGTGTATTACATCACTTCCGCCTTTAGCTGTCATTTCTCTGGGTGCTATAGCCAGAGAAGAAACTGGTAAAGCAGAGCACTGGTCCATCAGCTTCTTTGGGGGTACCCAGATGTCATTGTATATTGGCTATCAAATAGGGGGCTTCTTAGTCCCCATATGTTAGCAATAATGTTAAGTGTAGAAAACAAAAAGTTAAGAAAAATAAGTCACATATTAAAAAATTGGAAAAAAATAATTTGCATGCACATATAAATATAAATATGCGCCGGGTGCGCCTATGTGCGAAAACAATGATTACGCCACACATGTTAAATATCACCACGAACATCGCAGTGAGAGCAATAATTTCAGGGCCATTAGTCACTGATAACACTAAACTGATGAGCGGTAAAAGCTTTTGAAGCGTCGCCTATGGACAATTTTAGGTATGGTCGTTTTTTTGCGATTTTAAGACCTGACATGTTTTGTTGTCAATTACCCGACGTGACCCGATTCATTTCAGTACAGCGCTGCATGACGGAAAAAATGTCAGTTAAAGTACCGCAGCGCTGAATACTGAAAAATGGCCTGGCCAGGAAGGCCGGGGTTAACACCCCGGTCTTCAAGTGGTTAATACTTTTTCATTCCATATTGCAATACTTGTTCTTGGTCAGTTATTCAGCAAACATTGTAACTTAGCCTCAGCCTGACAACCAGGCAACTAGCATTTTCAGAAGATGTCAGCAATTAAATATTTATGTAAATGGAACTACAACTGAAAGAGAAGTACTGGAATGTGTGAGTGGCTGCTGTCTACTGATAACGTTTTTATTATTATTTTATTACACTTAATGTCTAAACTATCCTATTCATTTGCACATTATTTAGGGATTGAGCAGCTTTGTGTGAGTCAGTGTTAGTAATTTTTCTGTTTAGCATTAATAACCCTTCTGTTACCTGAAAGGACCTTGAATAATGCCAAATGTATGTGAAAATGTATGCCACTAAGACCTTCACTTAAGGTGGTTGCTCAAATTACAGCTTGATTGTACAATATATGCTTTTGATTTATCTACAACGATGTAGTGTGAGGAACTACCTAGAAATACCTTTTAACCTTTTTTATGCTGCCTTAAAGCAGACCTTTCATGAAAATTGAAGGTCCGCTTTACTGCCAGTCTCCCTCCCCTACAAACACAGTTAATTAAAAAACAAAACCTTAAAAGCAAGGTCTAATAAAATATTACAAAAAAAGTACCTCCTCCTGACTTCAGAATAGGGAATACGGAATTTGGAATTCAGGATATGGAATTTGGAATAGAAAATACAGAATAGGGAATATGGAATTAGGAATAAGGAATTCAAAATTTTGAATTTTGAATGCGGATTAGAGAAATCGAAATTGGAATATGGAATTCAGAATTTGTGATATGGAATTTGGAATTCAGAATAGGAATTTGAAATGAGGAATATGGAATTTGGAATACACATTTGGAGTTCAGCTTATGGAATTCGGAATACTGCATTTGCAATACCGAATTAAAATACGGACTTTGTAATACATTGCTCTTCACCGCTGTGAAAATAGAAAACATACCCAATGTTTAAACTGAGAAAATGTACCATTAACCTCTTGCCGTCCGCCCGTTAAGAAAAAACGGACGGACGGCGGACTCGCTTCAGCAGGTTGCCGTCTCCAGACGGCATTTTTTTCCTGCTCGCGCACGCACTGGCAGGAAAGACCCACTCGTTTTTACAGCCGTTAACGGCTGTTTCACATACAACCCCACCTTGAGTGCCGCCGCCCACCCTCCTGACCCCTCACCTCAATCCTGGGATCCACTACCCCATCTGCGGCCCGGGACCGGCTCGGGAGGGCGTCAGGAGGAAGAGGGAGGGAGTTCAGCTCCTTGCTGATCTCCCTCCGGGCTGTGAATGCAGAAGTGATGTGTATTACATCACTTCCGCATTCACCTGTCAGTCATCTGGCTGCTATAGCCAGAGAGAAGAAGCTGATGAAGCAGATCTCTGCGTCATCAGCTGCTTTTGGGGTCCCCAGGTGACATTAGGGGTCCTAGAGACCCCTAATGTCTCCATAAAGAGGACCTGTCAGTGTACCTGTGCTATTATATAGGGGGATTGTATCCCCCTATGTAATAGCAATAACAATAAGTGTAAAAAATGTTTTATATAAATAAAAAAAGTAAAAAAAAAAGAAAAGTCACAAATAAAAAAAAGTAAAACAACCCCCCCAAAATGTTTAAGGCCCCCCCCCCCCTATTTTAAAGTGTCGCCTATAGCCAATTTTGGGTAACGTAGTTTTTTGAGGTTTCGTGCGCGTGCGCAATCTTAAGGATTGACATGTTTGGTGTCTTTTTACCCGACGTGACCCCGTCTTTTATATTTTACAACAAAATTGGGTAATAATAAATGTTTTAGAATTTAATATAGGGGAAACAGTTTTTTTTTAAACATTTCTGTACATTTTCCTTAATATTGTAAAAAATAAAAACCGCAGTGGTGATTAAACCACCAAAATAAATCTCTATCTGTCCCCACAAAAGGGTATAAAATTCATTTCAGTACAGCGTTGCATGACAGAATAAATGTCAGTCAAAGTACTGCAGCTCTGAATACTGTAAAATGGCCTGGATGGGAAGGGGGTTTAACACCCCGGACTTCAAGTGGTTAAGAAAAAATATAGGGTCATTTTGAAAATGATGGTAGCAACACCTCTCCAACAAGTTGGGACAGGGCAATGAAAATCTGGCAAAGTAAGTGGTACTAACAAGGAAGAGCTGGAAGAACATTTTGCAGCTAATTAGGTTAAAAGGCAACAGATCAGTAACATGATTGGGTATAAAAAGAGCATCTTAGAGAGTCAGAATGACTTAGAAGAGAAGTAAAGATGGGCAGAAGTTCACCAATCTGTGAAAAGCTGCATCTAAAAATTGTCGAACAATTTCAGAATAATGTTCCTCAACGTAAAATTGCAAAGACTTTAAATATATAATCATCTACAGTACATAATATCATCAAAAGATTAATAGAATCTGGAGAAATCTCTGTGCGCAAGGGACAAGGCCGAAACACAATATTTGATGCATGTGATCTTTGGGCCCTCAGACGGCACTGCATTAAAAACAGGCATGATTCTGTGATGGACATCACTGCATGGGCTCAGGAATACTTCCAAAAATCACTGTCCTACCATCCAAAAATGCAAGTTAAAGCTCCATCATGCAAAGAAGAAGCCATATCTGAACATGATCTAGAAACACTGCTGTCTTCCCTGGGCCAAAGCTCATTTAAAATAGTTTGTCACAAAGTGGAAAACTGTTCTGTGGTCAGGCGTATCTAAATTTGACTTTCTTTTTGGCAACCATGGGCGCCACATCCTCCAGACTAACGAGGAGAGGGTCCTTCTCGCTTGTTATCAATGCTCCGTTCAAAAGCCTGCATCTCTAATGGTATGGGACTGCATTAGTACGTATGAAATGGGTAGTTTGCACATCTGGCAAGGCACCATCAATGCTGAAAGATATATCCAGGTTTTAGAGCAGCATATGCTCCCATCCAGACAATGTGTTTTTCAGGGAAGGCCTTCCATATTTCAGCAGGACAATGCTAACCCGCATACTGCATCTACAACAACCGCCTGGCTTCATATTAAAAGAGTCCGAGTGCTTTATTGGACTGCTTATAGTCCAGACCTTTCACCAATTGAAAATATTTGGCACATCTTGAAACAAAAAATACGACAAAGAAGACCCAGGACTGTTGAGCAGCTAGAATCCCATATCAGGCACGAATGGGACAACATTCCTCTCCCAAACCTCCAGCAACTGGTCTCCTCAGTTCCCAAATGTTTACAGATTGTTGTTAAAAGAAGAGGGGGTGCTACACCATGGTAAACATGGCTCTGTCCCAACTTTTTTGAGACGTGTTGCTGTCATCAATTTCAAAATGACCTTATTTGTTTCTTAAAAATACACATTAATTTCATTTTTAAATCCAGACTCCTAGACTCACTCTCTCTATTGTTTTTCAGAACAACTCCTTGCATTGCAAACTAAATGTTGGATCCACAGCAGACAAAATCCAGGACAAAAGCCCAACAAAGACAAGACTACCTCGGAAGGTTGACCTGCGAGCACGATACTGGGCATTCCTATTTGACAATCTCAGGAGAGCAGTGGATGAAATTTATGTGACATGTGAATCAGACCAAAGTGTTGTTGAATGCAAGGTAAGACAGATGATGTATGAGCTGGGCCCTCCTAGTATAGAGACAACAACCTTTATGCCTTTTTATGTGTTTGTGGGATTTTTTAAATTGAAACTTGTCATCTTAAAGGAGAAGTATTGGGAGGGTAAAATTTACTATTCCCAATAATTAGAGCCGGCATGTGACATTACAGTTGTCGCATGCCGGTTCTATAGGTTAAGAGCTGATCACTCAGCACATGATCACCCTGCAGAGAGAGGTGGCTTTAAGTTACCTCTCCCTGCAGGGATTCCCCCCTGCCCTCTCTGTTCCTCCAGTGCTCATTGGAGGGACAGATGGGAAGGGCGGGCACAGTTGGCTCTGGCTCTAGAGAGGCAGAGCCAGCTGTCAATCAGGCAGCGGAATCCCAACAATATTGTTGGAATCCTTCCCAGCTGTAGCGTGGCTCTGTGCTGTCAGCAAATAGCGAGCGATAGCAAAATTGAACTAAAGCCAAAACAAAAGTTTGGCTTTAGTTCTCTTTTAAAGAAAGGAATCCTTGTGACTTTAACTGATTTGTCACATTACCATACAGGGTACATGCAGGTCATATCTGGTTTGATGTAGAAAATATGTCTCCAGCACACCTCTGAAATGTCATACAATGACGCCCTAATTGACATTCATTCAGGATATCAAAGAACAAGGTTTTGAGACCTCGCAGGGTCCCTCCACTAGGCAAAAATGGTTATTGCAAGGGTCAACATATTGCATACTTTTTGGTATGCTGATTGAATGTCAATCAAGGCGCCATTGAATGAAGGTTCATAGGTGTGTGTGTCATAGTGTGACACATTTTCTACTTGGATCAGATTCTCACATATAACTGTAGATGGCACTGTTGTAACTCTTCCGCATAATATTGTGTTTGACTAAATGTAAGCTGGTTTATTATCCATCGAACCTAAATTGGGAATATTGTATAACTAACGCTGTGAGATCACTTTTTTTTAATACTATTAAAGTGACACTTATCTGTGTTCTACAAATTGCAGATTGTATCTTTATTATTAATATTTGCTCTTAGGTTTTATTACTCTGTTAAATGTTCCTGTTTCCCTTGTTGTATATTGGCTAGACTATACCTGAAACAATGTTTACTTTTTTTGTATGCCCTTATAGTCTGTACATATACTACTTATTATTCATTTAGTCAATTCACTTGAGTGCTCTGTTATATAAGTACATGTGGCATTACCTTGAAGTTTATGTTTTTTCTTAAAAACTGTCTTCATGTGTTTCCATTCTTTTTCAAAGATATTTTTGTGTATATATATCAGTGTGACCTTCACAAACAAGTCAGTAAAGAGCTTACTCTGCTTCTTCCATAAAGGTCCCCGCTTGGTGTATTTTATAGTGAGTATGATTTCCATTGCTTCAGCACAGAAGTTTAATCTGCAGCTAGAAGCATTGTAGGTGAACAAGAGAGCAGTATTGATGTGCCGGGCCCTGGGGTCCTAGCGTCCTGGTATAGAGTGTCATCAGGACAAAGAGATGGCGCCAACAGTCCTGCCGTGCACGCCAGTGACTAGAATTAATTACAAACCAATCGAATCCGTTGCAGCCAATTGGTAAACTAATTGGTAACTTTAGCCGGGCATCCAGCTCTGGTGATCCGGTATGGGGGAGGGAGTATCCTGCGAGACACTTTTGTCCAGCTGCGGGTGAGATGTCCGGAGAGAGATGTGCATGAGTGGAGACGGAGCCCCCGCTGCTGCTTGTCCTGTTTATATTCCCTTGTTCGGAAAACATGGCTCTTATTACAGCTCACATGGCATGAAGTCTGATCAACTTGATAAGGTGAACTGAGCCTTCCTTCAAGCAGGTACCTGCCAGAGGGGATGATTATTCATGTACAAGGAGATGGGGCTATACTACTGCAGATGAGAGCTAATTGCAGTGCTGTAATGGGGGAAATGCATGGATGATAGGTGGTCAGAAAGAGGTAGTACAAAGTTATCTGCTGAAGTCAACATGATAGAGAAAGTACATATCGGGCCTAAGGAGAATGGAACAAGGGTACAGTGCCTGTCGTTTATATCACAATATACAGTTTATTATCCTCGTATCACTTTTCCAGTGTCACGATGATTAAGTAGTGATGAAGGTTTCCAAAAATGACTAAAGTACAATGGATTATTAAGAACACTAATCTATCTATATTGATAAAAACAGTAAATACACAAACAATTCGTTTTGCCATATGCAACACTTTAACTTAGAAATACATTTATATTGATGCACTGAAGAGCACTGTAGTATCTATTATTTTCTGGGGCATAGCACTTCAAAATATTCTGCTGATTCATGAAAAGAGTGATCTCCAGAAGTAGCAGCGTAAACATGATCTGTCCAAGCTCTGCTGCTTGTTTAACTTTGTGGAGCCACACAGCGTAGAAGCAATCTGTCATTAAAACATTGTTATTGTACAGTATAACATCTTCTTTTCATATATGCAAAGTGATCAAAGTACATGGATATATAAAAAATGTAAAGATGATTTGTATCCTTCATTTGTTTATGTAATTATTGAGGAAGATCATGCTGTAACTGAGTAGAAACTCGTTATTTATATTTCATATTGTAAGTCAGCTACACATTTTATATGTGCATAACCATTAACTGAATTTTAAAGGGTATCTATGGTCAAAAACTAAAAATTAATATGTTGAATTTCCATAAGTTGTATCCCACTCCTAATAACCATATCGATCTAGAGGTTTGTAAACTTACTTACTGAAGATGCCCATAGGATGTACTTCCTCCTTTCACATGGGCGGTCTCATGTTAGTCTATGGGCAGCCGTATGTAAACGGACGGGCTTCCCATAGGTTTTCACCCAGTAACCCCTGACTCCGTATCAGAGGTCTGTTTTGCCAGACCTGATTGTGCCAGATCGGTGGTAATCTGATGTAAACATATACGTCTGCTTAAATCCGATTCCCCATAGACTGACATGTAGTCCGGGCCGTTTCGCGAAATGAAGGAAAAATATGTATGGACACGAATGTCACAGTGGTGACATCTGCTCCGTACTCCTCTTGATCAGAGTGTGTGGAAGGGGCCTTACACAGCCTGCCTTCTGAACTACAACTCAACATCTGAGCAATGTAGCATTATCATTGCTTTTTGGAAGCAGTGCATGATGGGATAAGTAGTCTTATAAGTAGTCTACCTTAGCCACAGTATTGAATTGTTAATAATTAAAAGACCTTTCTGCAGCAATGAAGTTATTCTAATGCATTTGCTCTGGAACTACCAGTGACTAATACAATCATATATGTAGGAGGTCACCTGACTGTTTGTATAATTGGATGGAATATAATAGGTGCACGGGATGATCCAAAGCTTTACGAGTTACCTCCAGGCAAGGATTTCAGTCTGTTCCACAAGAAAGCCATTTATGTCTATCCTTTTTTTTTTAGGACATTTTCCTCCTAGAAGAAGAACTCTGCTGTGGCTACATAACACCAGCCCAGCATAATTTTGGAAAATCTGCAACCATTTTATGTTGGCCACTTGGTTTTACCTGCCAGGCTCATGTGTATGAATTTGAATCCTTGTTCCTGTGTTTGGCCATTCCTCCTCTGCTGCATGTCTGTGCAGACCTAAACCTCAAAAAAACAAACACACAATGCATCTGGAATGCTCCGTGTTCTGCTTGTGTTGGAGAGAGTTGGCATAGATACATTGTTTGTATTATTGACAGATACCAGACTGCCTCTGGTGGCATGTATGGGCTTGTTCACACCAGGTGCGTTGAGCTACGTTTTATTGCGCAACACAGAAAAACGCAGCTCAATGCACATGGTGCGGACAAGCTCTTAATTGTTTTTCCATTAACTGAAAAGTGTTTAAAAGTGAAGGCTAGTTATATTTATTGGTTTCCGCAGTTTTGCATTTTAAAGTAGTTTCTTCTAAGTTTATTAGACACTTTAATGCTTTAATATAAATGAGAAAAAAGTCAAATGTTTAGGCCCATTGCACAAGAGCACCGTCTGTTCTGATCAGAAGGGGATCCGTGCACAGATCCCCTGCTGTTCGGAGCAGTACAGAACGAATGTCACTTTTGTGACTGAGCTGTACGGACCCATGTTAGGTTTATAGGCTGTTGGATGTAAGCGGACATGTTTATTTACATCTGATTAACTCCGATCTATCACAATCAGGTCCATCAAAATAGAACTGTGTTTCTTTTTTTTTTTTGCAGACCTATAGGGAGTTGGGGGTAATCGGATCTAAATGGATGCACATCCGGCTGCCCATAGAGATACAGTGGACTTCCGATCACATCCGCCTGATAAACTGACAGGCAGATCTGAATGGATTGCCCATATGAAAGGGACATAACTCCAGCCAAAACGTTTTATTTAGTTTTAGATAGAGCGGGGAAGAGTTGGAATATCTGCTAGCTTTTTATTGCTGCCTGTGCCCTTTTTGACAGTTTTCGCCTACTCCACTTCAATCAAAACGAAAAAACAAAGTGGCTAGATTCAGACTTTTATAACATGAGGGCCCGTTCACAACAAGCCTGAGTGATTAATTTAAATGACTCCTCAAACACACATCCTGGCTGCAACGGGACTGACCGCGCTGAAGCATGTGGTACCGCAATACCGTGCGTTGGAGTGTGATTTGAAAAGTAGTGCATGCAATACTTTTTGCAGTTGCACCACACATTCAAATGAATGACAACACAACGCACCTCCCGCACTGTTAACATACGGTGGGTGCGTTGGGCAGTACTGTACGTTAATGGTACAGTGTGCGACTAACGCACAGGCATGGTGTGAACGTAGGGTGCTCTACACAGCAACATCCCGTTAATGAGGATACTTTACTTGCTGGCTCTGTGGCTCCCTATCTTTAGTATTGTTGGATAGTGAAGCACTGGACACTGTTTTACTCCAGCTATACCCCAGTATTATTGTTTTCCTATATTTGCTGTCTGATAGATTTACTGATTTTTCCTCTATTATGTAGAAATTCAGTTGGAAGTCTGTCTTTCCCTTTTTTGAATAAACCACAAGCAATTTTCCTTTTCTTAAGACCACATTATTACTCCTCTGCTTTCCCTTCCCTATTACGGCTCAATTCTCTAAGCTATATTGCATGTGTTATTTGCTGTAACAATTGTTATTTTTAGCCATGTGGCTATTATTTTCAGCTTGGGTCTTTTAGCTATAAACAAGGGTTGTTATGGCAAAATATAGTTGTCATAGCTTAGTGAATTGAGAGTCTTGTCTGTTAAAGGGTCAGACCACCCAAGACAACATTTTTTGTTTTATGTAGATGTTGGAGAGTTATACCACCTAGCAGTTTCTCATATCTTTTGGGGATCCATTGTGTTGTGGTAACACATTATGAATGGCACCCCAGTGCACAAAGGCAGCGCAGCTCAGACACGCTTATTGCAGTGTACCACAACTTACAGTAACACGCTACGTTGTATTGTAGTGAGCTGCATCAGAAAAATGCTGCACCTCCTTTTTTGTTTGTAGAAAATATAGTCGGGAGATCTTGCTGTTGAAGTATTCAAGATATAAAGAAAGCTATGGCCTAACTTAGACCATATGAATTACATTTAACTTGAATATCAGTTTTGGGTGGACTGACATGGTAACTTTTTTCAACACTTGCTCTCATTCCTGAAAAAAAGAAGGTCATTATGGCATTTAATGATTGTGATAATTTTGTAAATTGAACCTCCTGTCTGTTAAACTCAGTCGAGTGTACGCAAACAGTTACCAAAGAATTGCATGTGGAATTTCATATCAGAACTGAACATTGCTGTCAATTCACATGCAGCATGAGCTTTTAAATAACAAAGAGAGGAAAAGTAAAAGGATAGGACTTTTGTAAATGATCAGAATCTTACAATAAATAATTTTGGAGCGTGTAGGAAGATAATTATGGGAAAAATTTTTAAAATTGATGTTTCCTTTAAGTAACTCTCTCAATAAAAACATATCTATATGTACTAAACAATGCCTCCAATGTAAAAACACCTTGCTATTCCTGCAAGTATGATTCTTGAGCCTCAAATGTTTTTCCATATGCTCTTAGATCCACTCAATCTTAGCCATGCACTATTCTTAGGATTTAACTTTGATTGACAACTCTCCTAAGATGAGCTCTATTCTCCATTATTATGCAGTCATATTTAAGAGCTTCTACTGACCACTGCATCCTTATGAATGCCAGTTAAATTAGAGCATAGTCAATTAAATATGGCATAGCAAGCTGTAAGAAATGTTTATAGGTAAGAGCTGTATAAGGCCACAGGAGTTAAAACGAACTTTTGAGGGGGGAGTGGGGTGTTCAGATTAGCATTTACAAGTTAAAGGAGAATTATGGGGAAAGTGAAATACATTCATCCCCATAATTAGAGCCGACGTGTGCACTGCAGCTGTCACACGTTGGTTCTATTGATCGGTAACTGAGCGATCACAAACCGCAGATCGCACAGTTCTCTCATCATTTTTCTGTGGGGAGTGGTGACTGACTGACCTCCCCTCTCCATTCCTCTAGCGCTTACTGGAGGGACAAATGGGGGTGGGGACAGCTGGCTTTGCCTCTAGAATCTAAGAGCAAGTCAGTTTGGATGATCGGGTGAGTATAACTTTTTTAATTTCCTCCCTAGAACTAAACGAGCATTTAACACTTGCGGTGCGGGGGTAGACCCATTGCGAGAGTTCATAAAAACTTTGCCCGGAGTTCTTCTTTAAACAGCCTTTCCATACTGAAAGGAAGCAGTCTTTAATTGTTGGTGATTACCGTATGGTGGAAAATATATAAAACCAGGCCTAGTGCTTCTTAGCCACACGTTTCTTATCTTCTGCATGTTCTGGTTACTGCTGTGCTTTAAGAGATATGCTTTTGCCACTATAGATATAAGGTAGTGTTCTACCTATTGATCATTTCTTTGTCTATATTTTGTTCAGGAAGTGCTAATGATGCTGGATAACTATGTGAGAGATTTCAAGGCTCTTATTGACTGGATTCAACTTCAGGAAAAGCTGGAGAAGACTGATGCTCAGAGCAGGTAAACAGTTTGAGGCCTACTGTGTAGCTGTCTACTGATAATATACTGACACTCACAATGTACTTATTATATGTCTTAGACAAGCAGGAATCAGACGAAAATCGAGTCCATGAGTGGCCCTGTCGGCACCATTGACTGGCTCAACATAAGTCAGTTTTGGAATCGAAAGAGTCTATTGGAAAATTGTTGACTGAACAGTGACTGCATTCTATCAGATGTAGTCACTCTTCAGGTATTTAGGCAGTTGTTTACCAGACAGCACCTATAATTCTGCATTACAATTATGGATATTTGCATTGTTTTGTTCTGCTTGTATTATGTTGTATCTTCTTTCACAGTGGGGAAATAGCGGTGTAAAAACAGCATTGTTTGTACCATTGATCTACTGCTCTCTGTCAAAATCTTTCTTCTAAGCACATTTAGAAAAATGTGGTCAAATGGGGAAGAAGCAAATGCTGTTTACTGAGCATTTAAATTAGCTCCCCTTTCATCTGGCCAAATCTGTAGTAATACTGCGAATAAAAACAGATATGCAAATACTAGACAAAAAGTACACTATATTGCCAAAAGTATTGGGACACCCCTCCAAATCATTGGATTCAGGTGTTCCAATCACCTCCATGGCCACAGGTGTATAAAATCAAGCACCTAGGCATGCAGACTGCTTCTACAAACATTTGTGAAAGAATGGGGCGCTCTCAGGAGCTCAGTGAATTCAAGCGTGGTACAGTGATAGGTTGCTACATGTGCAATAAGTCCATCCGTGACATTTCCTTGCTACTAAATATTCCACGATCAACTATTATAACAAAGTGGAAGCAACAGCAACTCAGCTACGGAGTGGTAGGCCACGTAAAATGACAGAGCAGGGTCAGCGCATGCTGAAGCACACAGTGCACAGAAGACACCAACTGTCTGCAGAGTCAATAGCTACAGACCTCCAAACTTCGTGTGGCCTTCAGATTGGCACAACAACAGTGCATAGAGAGCTTCATGGAATGGGTTTCCATGGCCGAGCAGCTGCATCAAAGCCTTACATCACCAAGTGCACTGCAAAGCGTTGGATGCAGTGCTGTAAAGCACGCCGCCACTGGACTCTAGAGAAGTGGAGACATGTTCTCTGGAGTGACGAATCACGCTTCTCTGTCTGGCAATCCGATGGACGTGTCTGAGTTTGGCGGTTGCCAGAAGAACGGTACTTGCCTGACTGCATTGTGCCAAGTGTAAAGTTTGGTGGAGGGGGGATTATGGTATGGGGTTGTTTTTCAGGGGTAGGGCTTGGCCCCTTTGTTCCAGGGAAGGGAACTCTTAAGGCATCAGCATACCAAGACATTTTGTACAATTTCATACTCCCAACTTTGTGGCAACAGTTTGGGAATGGCCCCTTTCTGTTCCAACATGACTGCGCACCAGTGGAAAAAAGCAAGTTCCATAAAGACATGGATGAGCGAGTTTGGGGTGGAGGAACTTGGCTGGCCTGCACAGAGTCCTGACCTCACACTCCTAAACCTTGTGGACACTTTCCCAGAAGAGTTGAAGCTGTTATTGCTGCAAAGGGTGGGCCAACTCAATATTGAACCCTACGGACTAAGTTTGGAATGCCATTAAAGTTCATGTGCGTGTAAAGGCAGGCGTCCCAATACTTTTGGCAATATAGTGTATATTTTTTAAAAGGTTTCTGACAAATTTCTTGTAATGGAGTCCTCACAATTGTGTATGCTTGTGAGGATACTATTTAGATGTTTAGTGCTATCCTGAATAATGCAGATTTTATTCTAAACCATGAGTTGTATTTTGCAGGCCTACCTCTTTGGCATGGGAGGTGAAGAAAATGTCTCCAGGACGGCACGTTTTGCCCAGTCCATCTTCGGATAGAGTGAGCTCAACTTCTAGTGCAAGAAGGGCACTCAATTTTGGGTATGTGAATAAATAGGCTACAACACTGGAGTGCGGATAACAAAATTCATCTGATGCATGTACTGTAGTAGATTTTGGTAGCCTTATGCTGCCATAATATGAGTTGAGATTAGAGAATTGATTGCGACATTTGAGTTATGTAACAAAAGAGTAATACACTCTTCCAGTCAGCAACAAACTATAATGCATGTGGAGATTTTCAGATATTGAGACGTTGAAAAGGTTCTGTATGCGACCTTTAGCAATGCGAAAAAGATGATGATGCTTTCTGTGAAAAGTATATCTGTCTAAAGCCAGCTTTAAAAACAATTACAAAAATCAGAAGTACTGGGCAGGTAGCTTGTGTTACCTGTATGCACTGAAGGACAGAATATATACCGTAATCCCAAGAGCAACAGTCAATATATTGAAGCTTACTAGTTCTTGCGTGTTGTGGCTGCATGTCTTTTTTTTAGGCTAAGCACATTTTTTTTTTCAATAGTTTTTATTAAGGTTTTACAAAGATTTGCTGGTATGCATTGTAGTGCATTGTACAACATAAATTAGAAAAAGAAGCAACAGTATACATAGCAAACGTTTAAATGTAGGGTAAGTGTATAGACAAACCAGTGACATTCAACAGTAAGTTCATTGCAAGGTATTGTATTGTAAAGTTCTCTCGTTCATTGTAAGTTTAAAGCATTGGTTGAAGGTGGCTCCACGACCTGTGACGGGAATGTATGAAGCAGAGGTAAGGAACCTAGGTAAGCTGATGGAGGATTGGTTAATAAGGGTGTGTGTGGATGGAGATGATAAAGGATTGGGGGATGGGGGCAGAGGGGTAGAAAGATGTGTTTGAAAAGGAGGGGTAGGGCAAAGAAGGGAGTAAGAGGGAATAGAACGCAGGGAGAGGGCAGCAGGAGGAAGAAAAAAAAAAAGAAGAGGGGGGAGTTATGGGGCAAGGTGGTGGAAAGGAAGAAAGGAGAGGGTAGTGTTCAGGACTCAAAACTTAGATATTTACCAAAGAGTGGTCAAAAGTTGCTGGTTGGTATTGCATAATCCAGGTGTCCTAAATATTTTGGAATCTGGTTAGCCTGTCTTGCTGTTTAATGGACAATTAGCGCTTTTGCAATTTATATGTGTCTGTAGAGACTTTCCAGGCTTTAGCACTGCTGTCTGTGTGGTATCATGTGTTGTCGAAAGACTTTAGTAATATTACAAGAGTTGCCAGTTAGGGAGCTATCTGAAATCTTGAGTTTTATCCTTTTAAAGGACAAGTCAAGTTGTTGAAAGCGTTTAGCTAGCATGCTGTCTGCTTTGTTCCCTTTTAGGAAGTATTTATGTTTGGGTGACCATATTAGTTTGGTATTAAGTTTTGTCTGGAGGTCTGTTCTCAAAGACTGTTTGAATTGGGTTGGGGGGGCTTGATATTGTGCTTTAATTCGAGAGATTTTCTCAATTCCAAATTTTCTCTGTTCAGGTCATAGTCAGTTGATGGAATGGGACATATGTATACTGAACAGACAGAAGGGAGGGAGGAGTATGGGAGGAAAATGTGGTCTATACAAGAAAACAGTTGATGGGAGTGCAAGATGTGGTATACCCACATTTTGCATCCTAATCAACTTTTTTCTTGTATCTGTTTGCCTTATTGGATACAGCTCATGCCATATGTTGGTTAGACCATGTTGAGCTAAGAGTGTCAGAGAGTGGTTGAAGGGTGTGTCATTGAAAGCGGGAGGTAGGTAAAGTGATTTAGCTTGTTTGTCTACGGAGGGGTATATGGTAAGGTTGCAGTCGCCACATACTAGTAACAGACCTTTTGTATGGGAGGAAAGTACTGTTTAGGATTAGATAATCGGCAGTGGGGGTTCACAGATTTCATTGTGACAAGAGAATTTACAAAAATGTTTATACTTTGTCTATACCAATCTTTGTTTATTGTCTAAATTAGCCATATAGGATTGAGCATGAGAGGGATGAGGAAAACAAGGGGCTGGAGAATTGGAGCTGTGGGTCTTCGGTAAACACAACCCATGCACAATAACCCAAAATAATCGAATGCTTTAGTACAGGGGAGCCCACAATTTTTCGTCTGGAGATCTACTTTTCAATTGACAAGCTCAATGAGAGCTACCAATGAATAAACACCTGTATTTTGGGGCGTGGTGGTGCATTGAAATCAATAGCATCACAGCCACGCCCCCCACCATCTGCAAAAATGCTGCAAGCACTATTTTTTCATATCGCACTTGACTGGAACGCAGGCACTGATGTGCCTGCATTCCGGGTGCGGGCGATAGCACTGAGGACGGGGGGCGTGGCTGCGGTGAGATTGACTTCATTACAACCGCACGCCCCCTCCCGCCCCTTTACGCAGGGAGCTCTCCGGCTGGCATTCCAGTGCATTCTAGAGGCCGAACACTCTGGAATGCAGACTTTGTGGTGTGAACCAACCCTCTTTCTTGGCTGTCTCTTCTCTCTCTCCTCCTCGCTCTCTCCATGTTTCTATCTGCTGTCTCTTCTCTCTCTCTCTGCTGTCTCTTCTCTCACTTTCTCTGCTGTCTCTCTCCTGTCTGTCTTTTCTTACCTCTACTGCAGCAGCTTTCCAAGTCTTCTCTCGTACGCCAGGTCCTGTGCTCCCGCGGTGCTCGTGTGGCAGACGTTGCACATGGGGAGAGGTGTCCCGCCCCTTCCCGTCTGCAGCGTCAGACACATTCAGCCGGCAGCCGC